AGGTGAGTCAGAGCCAAAGTTAAAGAGGCAGTGGCCATGTCACATCCCTCTGGGTCATCGGGAGTGATTAATTCAGCCTCGGGCTCTCTGATGCTTCCTCTCTCTTGCTCTCGTGTCCTTTCCTTTTTTATCTTTCTATCTCCATCTTTTCCTCATTAATTGTGTTCAGATGCTGATGCAGCTGATGCAATGCGAAGGTGTGGAAGGCGCCTGCTTATCTGATTCCTCTTCCCTCCAAGAAATGCTTATATTTGTTGAGGGAGTATTTTTACACAATCAGTTCAAATGTGTCCATAATTCAACCACTCCAACAATGAATATAGACTTGTATAAACTGAATTGATTGCCTATGTTTCAATTGTGCTGTCAGTTAAAAGTATTATAACATTGTACCATGGGACAAACTGAGAAAGGCGATGGCATGCAAAGAACTCTCTATAAAAAGTTATTCACAAATTTAAATACTCCCAAAAATACTCTTGATGTCTTCATTATAAATACAGATTAACAGAGATTAAACAACCACGTGAGCCAAAACCACTAAGTTCTAATAATGAGATTCATTGTGTTTCCATTTAGCCAAATTACTCCAAAGAAATATCTTTCAGGGTTTTTTTTCAACATCACAAGATAATCATAAGACTGCAGCGCCTTGACCAGACATCAATAAAATGGCTGATGGTCAGACCGGCTCTTGAAGATGAGCCAAGGTTTTCTATCCATCGACAGCAGAAAGGATCAATTTAGAGGCTAAATTAAGAGAAAACAGCAGGTCTCACGGCCACAGCAGAATTCTGACACTGCTGCAGTTCTGCTTGATATCTGAGCAGCATTAATCACAGGCTGAAGGATTATACATGAAATGTGGTTTGGTGTGGTGCTTTTCAGTAATAGCAACATTAGCTTCCTTGCAAAACAATGAGTTTATACCAAGAGACAGCCATTTATCACGCGTCCATTAATAATTTCAATCCTTCTCTTGTGTCAGTTTGCTTCCATCAAACAACACAATGAGTAGTGTGAGCGGTGATTTCTTATCATGCCAGGCATGTGGTTTACACTGAGCAGATTATATGCTCCTTGGACACAAGGAAGCACTTTTTTCCATTTCTGCAAAGCACAAGAACCTTTGAGAGATTTTAAAAAAAGTTCCTGCTGTAAACCTTTCAGGACTTTTGATTCAGTTTCTCTACAGAATATATATATGATTTGTACCCTTTAAATCTGTTATTCACCCAGAATTAACTGGATATGTACAGACTGTAAATCATTTAACTTTCCAAATGAACAATAATTCACAATTATAATAAATAAGAATAAAGATTACTCAGATTTATTATTTAATCATTTCAGGCAATGATTAAATAATCATTTACTGCTGGGAAAACTTCTCAGATATCTCCATCCGTTATTTAAATCTCTCTGTATGCTTTATCAACTGAGGATGCAGTGTTTACTGCTTCAGAGCCATTTCATTAATCATTTACGCTGCTTTAAAATGGGCACTTTCTATTTTATATATAAAATCTTGGCTTAAAATGTTCAAAAAGCTTCTCAGAAGTATGTTCTGTCTGCTGGGGAAACACTATATCTTATCTAGTTCTCAATGATCTGTGCAAATGTTTTTTTGCCTTTATGGTTCATTTGAATCTGAGTTGCTATATTGATGAGTAAGAGTGCTCAGCTCTCACACTGAATATGTGCATCTCTGTACATACAGGGAGTGAATAATACATCCCAAAGTAAAGGCACCTATATGTACATTTGAAGATTAGTAATTCTAAGAGCTTAAAAGGATAACAAACACAAACTATTTTAAATAGCCAAGATTTTGTTGTGCTGGATCGTCTCTCCTTTTGCAATACAATGATCATAAAGTTACAGCAAAAGTTCAGGTGATTTTTGCTGTTATTTGAAGCTTCTTTTGGCATCATTTACACACAGACGAAAAAAATCTACAGCAGCTCTATTTCGTGTCATTTAAGAAGTGTAGAATGAATTTTGACAGGTGATGAAAAAAACAGTACCACATATCAAAGCTCATCAACACACCGATATCCAAGCTGAGCGGGACAGATGAGGAGAGACCTCCCTTCCTCTTAGGGAAGGCTGTCGGAATATTTGGTTTGTCTGAAATGTAAAGTGTTACAGTTGGCGGACCCTGAGGCAAACACTGGGATATAAGAAAAATAAACATGGTGTTCTGGCACCTGTTGATGTCCTGAAACACACAAGAAGCTCAAGGAGTGTCAGCCTGAGGGAAGGAATCAAAAGACAGAAGGAGTAAAAAGAATGACGATGAGGGAAAAAAATAACCCTGCTGCTTTTTCTTCAACGTAGAAACCTGGTAGATATATTGAACATGACTCAACAATTAACATTCATCTCATCAGCAAGGTCTGAAATCTGACTGACGCTGTTCAAATTCCCCAACACAAGTGGCACTCTTCATCCGCTCTGAGCAAATGAGCAAGGACGAGGATGTGAGTCTGAGCGGCACTGTCAAAAAGTAATTACAGAATCGTTCCTTTTGTCAGCACACATCCAAGGACAATGTGTTCATTGTGATCCTTCTTTTTTTTCCAGAGTCCTCTATGCCACACTTATGCTGCAGCATCCACAAAAGGTTTTATCAGAGATTTAGGGATGAAACTCCATCTCCATCTCTTGTCTGGATTCAAGTCTGTACGACTCACCTTATTCTGAAGATAACCCCCCACACAGAGGCACGTCATGCATGTAAAATATGTATGAGCGTGAGAACAGCTTTATAGTCTGCTAAAGCAACCCCAAAAGGTGCTTCTTTTGGCTTTGAAACTCTCCCCTGCTGAGCAGAAATCCTTTCAGTGTGTTAAGGCGAACACATAAAGGCACAAAACCTACTGCAGGTTGTTCCATAAACGCATCTATTGATTGCAGCTGCAACTTTGAGAGCTCTGCTGTCTTACAAAATAACAAGCAACAAACTGGTCCAGCCAACACGTCAGAACTCATGATGAGGCTGCATGAAAATATGCATGAAGGCAATTTTAAACAATGAGTCATTTTTAACACTCAGTAGAAGTCAGAGGGCTGCATTTATGAAAAACAATGCCTTGAAATCAAGAAGCTGGAGTGAACTGCTCAGACACACTTATATATTGTGTATCATTGCAGTTAACACTGGAAAAGCAAGTATGCAACTGTTATAATGCTTCCAAACAAAATAGTCCTTTTAAAAAAAATATTTTTTAGGTTTCGAACCACAAAGAGTGATGGAGTTCTTGACCTTCTGTAAGCACAATATTAAAAGCCAAAAGTCAACGTCAAGAGAATCTGTCTCAAAGCAGGCATTTAATCACGTCAAACCAGCTTGTAATATTTCCAGCAAGCAAAAAGATGGACCCCAAAACACACATGTGCCCTGTCAAGCTGCTAACGTGGCTGAAAACTTCAGCTTTAAATGAAGTGAGTGATGAAAGCACCCGGGAGCACGGCTGTTCAGCGTGTCAGCCTCTGTGACTGATGTGTGTCTGCCCGTGTGAGAAGTCAGCAACATTTCTGGGTGTTTACTAAGGCAAACCCATACTCTAATCCTCCTGTCAAATAAAAAAGAAAAACAAGGTCTCATCATATTTTCTAGCTCTTTAGAGGGGATTCGAGTTTAGTTTGGAAACAAACTTCCTCCGCTCCATGGAAGTTAAGAACCATTTCATCTTTTTCTCATTGTGGAGGAGAAGCAGTCGGTTTCTTCTCTTTTTTTCATGCACCCTGATGAGAAGAACGAAAAGTCAAAATCAGCTTACTCTGGAATCTAATTCTTTTGAGGGTCCATGCAGCCATATTGAGTTACAAAAAGGAACACAAAGTTTCCATCTGAACTTATGTAACACTATTCTAATTTCTGATCACGGCACACAGCAGCATGCGCACAGAATTCTCCAGAGAGAGAGAGAGATCCAGCCTTACGCTCTCCTATTTCCTTCCTCCTCTAAGTCCAAAGCTCACTTGCTTTCTCTCTGTCATCACTGCTGAAAATAAATCAAAGCTAAAATAATTCATGAGTGTTAAGAGTGTGTGTCCATGCAAGAACAGGGAATAGAGTGGATCTTTTCACAGAGCACAAGAATTTTTTAGCCATTTTATCTCCATTTTAGTATGTCCAGAAAAATGAAAGGGGAGGAGAGAATGAAATGTTTTAACGTCACATGGAGAGACTCAACAATCAGATTAGTGAAATTTGATGAATGTAACTCAATATGTCAACTTCTTGTCAACAGTAATCCAATAAAAGTTGGAAAAAGTTTCACAATAATCAACATTTTTCACTCTTCCAGGGGAGGAAATAGGCTTGATTGGACTTTTACAAATGCAGTGACGTCCATGCCAGATATGAATAGCTGTGTGAATCCACTCCGACGTCAGTAAGGATTTCAAATCTCAATGAACTGAATCTTGAAATCTTGAAAATATACTCACCGGCCAGAACTCCGGCCATGTAAAGCAAACTGATTCGTAAAATGCCGTGAACCATCTCTAAAGGAACGCCAATCATCAGCTGCAGCAAAGCGTTGAATCCCAGCTGCTCTAAACTGCAGAGAGAGCACATTTAAAAACTTAGAGGCAAATATATCCAGTAAAACTCATGACAAGGTAGGTGGTGTTCCGCCGACGTACCCGACGTGCATGAACATGTAGCTGAAGAAGCGCCACACTTGCGCACGATGACCTGGATGGTAGACCAAGGGGCTCTTCATGAAATCAGGCTGGTAGGTCTGCAGGACCCACTTGTTGAGCATGATGCCATAACACATGAACACGATAATCTGCAACACATACCCGCAGACATTACAGCTGCTCCACCTAAGAACCTCATGCTTTACCGTCTCTTTACAGTGCTGGTAACAAATGGTCAGAAATGGCAGAATCTGCCTTGCAAAACAATGCCCATTGTGCTTAATGAAAGACGTGGTCGCTTTTGTATTTTTTTCAATCGCTAAGCTGATGCTTATTAGACTTGGGGACACAATTACTGCAGTGGGGGAAAAAGCACATCTGGTTTAGTTCCATTAATTCCTTTTCATAGAGTAATGACTCATTGTCTCTGTGAATGAAAATGAGTGTGAACTGCTATTATCATATTCTCATTGTCATTACAAACCATTCAGTGCCATTTGGAGGCATTATAAGAGCACTCGGTTTTCTTTTTAGAATTATGAGGATTTCTGGGGGAATGAGGAAGTTTTGTTCAGAAGCCGGAGGTTATTCTCATTGCTTAATCTTAAACCATGCAATTGTTTCCTGTGAGGGCTCCCAAACATGTGGTTTCTGCACTTTTGTTTTGCTAAATGAACATAATAGGTCAATTACAGCCACTGCAGTACCCTGAGTGGTGGCTGACCTGGTTTCTAAGACCTATACCCAAAGTCAGTGTCTACAAAATCCTTACATGCCAAATAGGCAAGGGTTACGGCTTGAAGGAATGGCATTAAACGCACCCACTAAGCTCTGGGCCCCCAAGTGGGTTACGAGCTCATATCAAGCTCACTGTAAAAGCGTGAGATCAAAGGCAGGAAATCTCTTTTAGAGTGTATTTGCCAAACAACTGAGCCCGTTTGGAGAGTCAGTTTTAGAGGTTTGTAGCAGTGACTACTTTACTCTGAAATTACACAAGTGTTTGAAGAATATTCAAGTCAATATGTGGGTGCGTTTATGCATATTCAGTAAACTGCATCATGCAAACTATTCACCAACAGGAGGATGGTAATGCGACCCCTAACCTGGACGATGGTGACGATGGCGATGAACACAGGTGGAGGACACAGGCGGTTCTGGTGGAAGTACCAGCGTCGGTCCGTCTCGCAGGGCAGGATCTCATAGGCCACATACCGGACAAAGCGTTTGTACAGACCCAGCCCTGTCTCATCCAGCAGGATCTCCCTCTGCAGCGTGCGGCGGCCATTGGCGATAGCTCGTCGGAAACTGCTGGAGCGTTTGCTGCTCATCTGAGTGAAAGATAAAACACCTGTGACGTTGTGCGGGGCAAATTTCACACATGCCGCCATTTTTTAAGAAGCTCTGACAATGGGGAGCAAAGTGTTCTTAATTTCACTTGTGAAAACTTAAAAAGCCTTTCTTTTATTTATTGTAAAGTCTGCATACACATAACTAAGCATATTTACGCTGGAGAAGGAGGTCAGTTTCACTCAAACAAATGGGAACAAATTATGAAACCATCATCAGCTACTGAGCACACAGAAGACAAAGAAGAACAAATATTTTGTGTCTGCTAAAAGCAGCAACTGGAAACTCAAAAAACCTTATTATATCACAAGTAACTTCAAAAGGTGTTGAAGTGGTTGAGCAAACATCACACAATCCGTTATAAAATCCAGCCTGTCCTTTTCCCATCTCAGGTTGTACTGCAGTTCAAACGAACAGGCGAGAACTTTTTAATAAGCGAGCTGTGGGGGTGTTAACAGTAAGACATTCTTACCTCGGGATGGAACCAGGTAAGGTGTTTTCAATTACCATTCTGAGCTACCAAGATACCATGAAAAGCTGGTTACGCACTGTTAGTATTCTCATAGCAAAATAAGCACAATTAAGCACAAAAAATTATATCCAAAATACATTTAATTCTTTAAGTTGCAGACCGTTTTAAATGTTAATTTAATATAATTTAATTTACTCAAGATTGAATCTGCAGAGTGTGTCTGACTAATCTGGAGAAGGAAATAGTTTGTCTTTTTGCTTTTATTTAAGCAGAAAATTAAACTGTAATATCAAAACCATGTAACATGTTTAACCAACTGGTGATTGCATGTTCCCCACAAGAGAGATGACAAATCTGCACATGAATATTCATGGAGATGTAAAAATTTATTAATTATGTATAGACAGTTTTTGATTAAGACTGAATGTAAAGCCAGACAGCCAGAGGGGTTTATTTCTGCTCAAACATCATAACAAATATGCTGCTAAAGAGATTCTGCCCTTGAAAAGCAAATCTTTGTTTACAGCAATTTTGAGAGGAGAGACAGTGTGTGAACGTCTGCGTGTGTGTTTGTTTCAGCAGACTCCAGGTTTGCTTTGTGAGCAGAGCTCTGCAGCAGCCTGCAGACCTACAGTTCTATAATTGAGGCTTTGGATGAAAACTGTCCTAACGCCTCTTTGACCATGAAAGCA